AACAAACTTGAATCCCCTTTACCCAAGGATGCTTTGTGGCAAGTTTGGTTGAAATTGGCCCAGTGGTTCTGGAGAAAAAGTCGAAAATGTGAAAAGTTTACAGACGGACAGACAGACAGAAGGACGATGGACAAAATGTGATCAGAAAAGCTCACTTGAGCTTTCAGCTCAGGTGAGCTAAAAATAAACAAAATAATTTTTTTCTAGAATAGTTTCATGCAACTTTTTTATCTTAACTCGACTAAAATTCTTTGAAACTATTTGTACATTATACCTTAGAGACTGTTTCATGATATCTGTGGTACTACTGCTATGCAGGGCAAAATGATATACTTTGGTGAAAAATGGCGCAAAAGTAATTGTTTAATTTACGTCATTTAATTTTCTGTCAACAAAAACTTCGCAAAACATTATTAACTTGCCCTGCAAAATTGTACTACCGCAGTTATCATGAAGGGGCTAATTGCATGGAACATTCAAAATTTTTAAAAAAAAGATACATGTACATGTAGCACAAAGTGACGTCATAATAGGGGTGTACAAACATGTTACTTTGTAAGAGGTGATGAAAAATTGCAAATGGAGAAAATATTGTCATTTGTATACAACAGTCAGCATAATAATAACAATTGTGTTGTGTTATGCATGCACTATGCCTAAATAGTAGTCAGGGTTTGACAGTACACTTGCCTCCGGCTCGTGCACCATGTGTCAAACCCTGACTACTATTTAGGCATAGTGCATGCAAAGCACAACAATAATATATAAATAGTGCACTGCTTCTTTTTCAGAAGAAAATCCGACAACGCCCACGCTGGGGACTGAACTCATGACCCCGAGATTGTCAGTCCGATGCGCTACCGATTTAGCCATGTTACTGTGTATTTTAATATATATAAACTTAGTTTAATATATATAAACTTTGTTTCAAATATTTGATACTTTGAAAATAAACAAAATACCGTAAGTTTTGGAAGATAAGACGATACTTTTTTTCTCTGAACCGCTGGGATCGTCCTATTTAACGAATCGACCAATCTAAGGCTCAAGTTTACGAAAATGCCTCCAAATCAGAAAAATTTACGTCAATTTTAAAGCAAATCTGTGCCATTTTCGTATTTTTTAAAAAAAATTTTACCGAGAAAAAAAAAAACCCAATAAAGAATTAAATATTTATTCCATTGATTTCTTACAAATTAAGTTCCAATAAATATCCGTCGATGTACAAAAAAACTTATTACCGGTATATCATCTAGTAATTAATGTTTCAAGGTATATTTACAACATGCTGTGTCCATCTTGTGAAGTTGGAAGTCGCAATCGTTTACTAAAAAGAAAACCGCAGCCGTATCAAAATTTAAAATACGGAAGAGTTTTCACAATCGCAATTGTAATTCTTTTTTTACCATTTATTTGTAACGATTAATTAAAATAGTATGCCTTAATATTTGTTCATTGTCTTGTGATATTTATTTAGATGTAAAATGCATGAAGTAAATTGTTGCCAGTAAATTTCTAAATTTATTTTCCACATATGCCGCTAGTAATAACTATTTTGTTTTATATCTTAATTAATTATAATAAAACGAACGTATATTGAATATACTATTATACGTTTTTGGAAGTTATAAATTCATTTATTTACGATACGTTATATTTTATTCACAGTTTTTTGTTTGTTTGTTTTTTTTTAATAGTTTCTTGCAACATTTTTACCTTCACTAAACTAAAATTGTATGAAACTTTCTGTACATTATACCTTATTGCATGAACACTCAAAATTAAGAAAGAAAGATTATGACGTACATGTCATAATAGGGATGCAGTGAACATGATGATAAGAGGTAACGAAACATTGCAAATGGAGAAAATATTGTCATTTTATACAACAGTCAGCATAAATAACAATAGTGTTGTGCTTTGCATGCACTATTCCTAAATAATAGTCAGGGTTTGACAGTACACTCGCCTCGGCCAGCTCGTGCACCATGTGTCAAACCCTGACTACTATTTAGGCATAGTGCATGAAAAGCACAACCCTATCATATAAATGGTAATTGACAGTACTTTTTACGTAATTGAAAGTAATGCGTATTTGGCCAAATTTTTAATTATATGTACTTGTAATTCAATTATACTTTCGAGAAAAGACATGTTATTCACATTAACTTTTCAATTACATTCAATTACACTGATATATAATAAATGAAAAATAACCCACCCCCTCCCTCCCAATCTTGTATACATTTTTCAAGAAAGGTTAACTTATCTTTTTGACAAAATATTTTATAATAATAATTTTTTTGAAAGAAATTCACATATTTCCCATTTTTAGTGAATTGCTGTTTCCTCTTATGCATTTTCTTTAAAACTTTTGAATCCAATTCATCTCCTTTTGTAAAATGTACAAATAAAATCAACAATTTTGATCAACTTGAAGTTGTTTATGACTTGACATGTAAAATACTTAGTCCAATGGCTTCTAATCCTTTGTTTGCCATATCTACAGCTTGTGTTAGAAGTGATTAACAGGTGCTAATTAGTGCTATATAAGATCATGTACATATTGACACTGACCCTAAATAGATATTTTACACATATTTTGACTTTACCTATTGGTAGTTTTATACACACTTGACTTCTTTATGGTAGTTTAACACACAATATATCAAATACCAACATTCTGAGATATTGTTTAGGATGATGGAAAAAAAAACATCAAGCAAAATGTATCCAATTTTTTTCATAAATATATCAGTATATTCAAAAATGTAACTCATGATTTAAGATAAAACATGAGTTAACTTGTTACTAGTCAGATCTATGTATTCCTTCCACAAATGCCTCCATGGAAAATATCTTCATTTTATGTAGCAGGAAAATCTTTAAACCCGATAGCTGTAGGTTAAGGGAAACAATATTTAAGAATTTCATTAACAACTTAACAATATTAATGTATACAAAAAAAAAAAAAAACAACTGAATCTATTATAAGCATAAAGGAACATTTGTGACTTTTTTTTTTTTACAAGTTTCTAAATGTAATTTGTAATTAATAAATGAAAAGTAATTGTAATTTAATTAATTACATTTCAAAATCCCTGTAATGGTAATTGTAATTTAAATGAAGGATTTGGGCAAGTACCCGGTAATTGTAATTAAATTAATTCTTTTCCTATGTAATTGACCCCATCCCTGTCATCCAGTACCTAATTACTTTTATTTAACAGAAATTATAACTTATGTTTCAGAAAGTTAGAGAACAGAAATCTTTAATTACTCTGCCTGAGTATCCAGGAGATATAGATAACACCTGCTAGATCAGAGATGCTCTAACAACTTCCCATATTGAACTCATTGATTAATCTTTAACTGGATTCATGTCCACTCATTACTTCCAAGGGACAAATGGATTTACATTATCTGCTATGTAATGCACCGTGAGTCTGTAGTACAGTAGAAAATGCATGTTTATGTCATTCTGTTGAAAACAAAGATTTTGTTTTTAATTTGTTACAATTAAGCATTGAATCATTATTTTTAAAGATATAGTCTCATAACTGCAACGGTGTGTGCAAACAAATTGAGTAATGCGCATTAGCCATGATTTGAATAAACTTGAATCTACACTATCTGAGGATGCTACCATATAAATCTGACCAATCATGGCTTTGCTGTTCTTAAGAAATAGTTTTTTTTAAAGATTTTTACTATGTGTTCCTACATAAAACTTTGATTGCCCATTGTGGCCCCACCCTATCCCCGGGGGTCATGATTTGAACAAACTTGAATCTACACTATCTGAGGATGCTACCATATAAATATGACCAATCATGGCTTTGCTGTTCTTGAGAAGAAGATTTTTAAAGATTTTTCCTATATATTCCTATGTAAAACTTTGATCGCCCATTGTGGCCCCACCCGACCCCCGGGGGTCATGATTTGAACAAACTTGAATCTACACTATCTGAGGATGCTACCATATAAATATGACCAATCATGGCTTTGCTGTTCTTGAGAAGAAGATTTTTAAAGATTTTTCCTATATATTCCTATGTAAAACTTTGATCGCCCATTGTGGCCCCATCCGACCCCCGGGGGTCATGATTTGAATAAACTTGAATCTACACTATCTGAGGATGCTACCATATAAATATGACCAATCATGGCTTTGCTGTTCTTGAGAAGAAGATTTTTAAAGATTTTTCCTATATATTCCTATGTAAAAATTTGATCGCCCATTGTGGCCCCACCTGACCCCCGGGGGTCATGATTTGAATAAACTTGAATCTACACTATCTGAGGATGCTACCATATAAATATGACCAATCATGGCTTTGCTGTTCTTGAGAAGAAGATTTTTAAAGATTTTCCCTATATATTCCTATGTAAAACTTTGATCGCCCATTGTGGCCCCACCCGACCCCCGGGGGTCATGATTTGAACAAACTTGAATCTACACTACCTGAGGATGCTTCCACATAAGTTTCATATTTTCAAGCACAGTGGTTCTTGAGAAGAAGATTTTTTAATGATGTCATTAATTTTTCACGCATTCTTAATTATCTCCCCTTGGAAGAAGGCGTGGCCCTTCATTTGAACAAACTTGAATCCCCTTTACCCAAGAATACTTTGTGGCAAGTTTGGTTGAAATTGGCCCAGTGGTTCTGGAGAAGAAGTTGAAAATGTGAAAAGTTTACAGACGGACGGACAGACAGACTTATACAGACAAAATGTGATCAGAAAAGCTCACTTGAGCCTTCGGCTCAGGTGAGCTAGAAAGCTTGGTTACCATAGGGCTTATACCAGTAGTTATTTTTTAATGAACCTGCTTTTTAAACTCTAACTTGATCACTCGTGCAATAAATCTAGATCAAATATAAAGCAAGTCTATATTGGAGGGCATTCTCTTGTGCATCATCCAAACTTTCAGTGAAAAATACCATTATTATCAAAAATTAAGTGGATATTAACGGGTATTTTAAAACATAAACATTTACCTTTTTCCCCTTTTGCTTTGCAGTGATATTCTTAAAAACAAGTTGTGGTTGTTCTAAACTAGCCCATCCAGCTCTGCATTTATATACTCCTTAAAAATAATGAAATTTATATGAATATTTTAGCACATAAGGATAAAGAGGACTCTGAAACTAAGAAGACTTTTCATGTATAGGGTAAGTAAATCTTTTTTCTTTTAATATCAAACTCCATGTTAATTAATCCTTTGTGCTATTATCACATCTTTTCACAGCTGCTGACATTCTATTTTGAGCTAATTAACAAATACAACAGCAAGAAAGTCATTCATATCAATGGGCATTTCTTAAGGCCAGGCCTGTCCTAAAAAAAAATGTACAAATAAACAGATTTCAGCACATGTGCATACATGGTTTCAATGTAAAAATTATTCTAAATGAAAAAGTTAAAGATGGCACACAGTGATTGATCTAAAAAAGATCTACAAACAATACAGATCTTTGAACAGGGCATAAAACAACAATTCCTGATGTGGGATCAGGTGCCTAGGAGGAGTAAGAATCCCTGCTATAGCCATCACACCTAAAATAGTTTAAAGTCAAGATATAGTAAAAGAGTTTATACTGTCTTTTTATAGCAGGTCCATTATGACATCATAATTAATTTAAACTTATTTATTCCTGTTTTTTAATTGTGTCTATCTATAAATTATGTAGAGAATGAGTATGTTCAAGAAATTCCATTTGAAATCATGTCAAAAGTATTCCTGATGCCTTGATCAATACAGTATTATTTTAAAGAAGAGTCAAGAACATATACTATTAGCTGTTTTCTGGAAGACTGTAGGCAATCTGGATACATTTCCTTTGTCTGATACAGATAAAACTCCCGTATTCATAACTGATTTTCTTTATTTTTCATTGAAATCACAGTAAAAATTACAGTGAAAACTTTCTAATCTGACAACTGTGCAATCCATTTCACTGTATATTCCAACCTTACTTTCATTCCAATTGTACTATTTTCAATGTCTTTACACTGTGTATTCCAACACATAGTCTATTCTGATACTTGTCAAATTTGTCTTCCAGTGCATGCCGGATTAGACAGTTTTTTTGAAATTGTGTTTACCTAAAAATGATGTCACAGTTTATTACATTTTCAAAGTAAAATACTGTGATTTATTCATTGAGTAAAAGTGATATTCTCTCAGATACGAAAGAGATATGTCACAGTGTAAAAGGATATCAAAGTAAGTACATGTAAAATACTTGTAATAAGACTGAGATAGTAACTAAACCATCTTGATAAGACTAAAACTGCCAATTTCTTCCCAAATATGTTGCTAAAATCGATGTTACAATGTTTTCAATCTCACAATTTGCTAAGCTTTGACATCTCAGCTGCTCAACTATGACGTCACAGCCTATAACACCGTGTAAAGAAAAGACAGAGGCAAACGAAAAATCAAAGAAAATATAATAAACAGAAAATTCAATGTTTTGTAGTTGGATATGGAATTTATTTCACTTGTGAGACAGGGTTTGTTTTTTTTTATTTTCACTCGTGCTTCGCACTCATGAAAATATAAAGAAAAAAATCCTGTCCCACTCGTGAAATAAATTCCATAATTATTTCCAACTACAAAACATTGAATATCCTCTATATATCTTATTTAATTAAGGAGGGATTCTTCTCGTGTTTATCATATCAAAAAAATTAATGAAATTTTCAAAGATTGAAGAAGACAATATCACTAACCGATGGCATAAATTACAATATATTTGACCGTTTAATTAAAAGGTCAAGGTCATGTCAAGGTCATTATCTTTTCCATGTCATTAAGAATAAAAAAATATTGTTGCCAATCATGTAATGCTTATAATTATTATTTTAAAAATTTAATCACTTTCTTTTTACATAAAAAGTTGATACAACAAAAATTTTACCAAATGATAATATCAAACTGAGATAAACAGTTAATCTAAAAAGATATTGGGTAACCTGAATTTCCTCTATTTTTCTTAATTTTTTAGGGAATATTTGTAGTTTTAGTATGTTTTGCATATTTAAAATTTTATTATTTTTACATATGGTGAAGGAGTCATGTAAAGGTACAAAATGATATATAAACCAAAAGTTTTGACCATTTAATAAGAGAGAAAAACATTTTTTACTGAATTTTTACTCAGATCTGTTCTTAGAATCCTTAGCTTTCAAAGGCTGTAAGATTGCCATTTGTCTATAAAATCATATATAATTGAAATATTTTAAAACTTTAGTCCATTATTATTAATTTCAGCCACAACAAAAATTTCCTTAAGCCTTTGATTGTTTAAAAATGCCTTTTAAATTCATTGTTCTGTAGTAATTTTGAGAAGCAGAAAAGGAGATATTTTCATACGCCGACATTCCGCCAAAAATACAGTCCCTGCTAGATTTTTAAGTCAGTTTACCGCTACTATTTCAAATTGTACAATCATAAAAAAGGAAGAAAAATATGATCTTTAAAACCCTTAACATCTAAATATAAAAGACATGTAAGCAAATATACTTTGAGTATTTCATTAAGTCAGAAACCAGACAAGAATCCCTCCTTAATCTTTATAAAAGCATCATAAAAGATTTCATTTCTCAAATTTGAGAAATCTTTAGGCACTATTCACCATATCTTGATCTTAATAACTAAAAGCTAAAAAAAAAAAGGCCCATGGTCAACAGTGCTTACCTGAACTTTCAAATACAAAATTTCAGCAATTTTGAATTAGGAAAAACTGTCTTCTCATTTGTTATTTACAATTGTTAATACTGATTTAATAGTTGCAAACTCAGTTTAACTGTTGATGCATAAGCAGTGCCAGTAAACAGATGTTTGTGACCATTATATCAGAATAAAAGATCATAAAAAACAGGTGAGAAGATGGTTTTTCTCACTCTAATGCAATTTATGCATTTTGTTTTATATTTACATCTTATTTTGTTGAGTTTTATGACACAAAATATGTCAAGAAGTGTTGTGTTTGCATCGTTATATTAAAACTATCAAATACTAAAATCGGTACTTGATTACTCAGATGTATATTTTTTTCATATTTCAAAGTACAAATGTACATATATTTATTAAAAATTTATCAGAAAAAGTGATCTAAATATGCATTGTCCATGTCTTTACAATAATTAGCGTCATCTACACCAAATAATACCCGTTATCGCCTGTGCCTGTGTACATAGTAATCACCCTAACCAATCACTGGACACTGTACACAGTGGTTCTCACCTATTGTGACCCTAATTTATGGATGGCTCTAATTATTTAATTGTTTTCAAGGAACATCGATTGATTATTGTATGTATACATAAATTGGGGTATTCAAAATTTAGCGCAATCACTGGGTATGGAGTTGTTGGCGAAATCATGAATTAGTGCTATACATGTCCGTGCTGTATATTGCATTTATAAATGATTTTTTAGCAGTATTCATGAATTAGCGCATCGTTGTCTGCGCCAAAGCCACTAAAATATGCCCGCTTTTTTTATGTACACACACAGTATCCTTAGCTTATTTAATTAGCATAAGGTAGCGAAATCGGACATACAAAGAAATACCGCTACCAATTAAAAAGTGAAGAAATATTTAAAAATAGCCAAAGATTTAAAAAATGTTAAAAGTCAGCTGTGCATAGTAAATTTAGGGGGAAAAGGAATCAGTCTAGTTTGTTGGGTATGCCTAATCATTATAAAGTTGCGTCCTTCTCTTCCATTGATCAAATTGTCTTCCTAAACAAGAACTATAAGCATTTGTAATTATTGGTACATGTATATTAATTGATCACGTCTTTGTGTTTATTTGATACATAAATTAAGTACCATAAATCGTTTTCGTTGGGCTCTATGTTTATGTATATGCATCATAAACTAAAGAAAACATTGATGGGGTAAACAGATCTCAATAAAATCAACAAACTTTTACATGTATATACATTTTTTCCAAGTACCAGGGACTCGATTGGAAAATTATCCTGAGTAACCGATTACCAAATATCAACCAATTTGACATCCCTAATTAAAACATCACAATCAAAAGCTTTCACTCTTGATAATGCTTGTTTAATTCCCTGAAACATCAGTGCATTGGCCAATCAAAATGCAGATCTAAATATGCATTGTCCATGTCTTTACAATAATTAGCGTCATCTACACCAAATAATACCCGTTATCGCCTGTGCCTGTGTACATAGTAATCACCCTAACCAATCACTGGACACTGTACACAGTGGTTCTCACCTATTGTGACCCTAATTTATGGATGGCTCTAATTATTTAATTGTTTTCAAGGAACATCGATTGATTATTGTATGTATACATAAATTGGGGTATTCAAAATTTAGCGCAATCACTGGGTATGGAGTTGTTGGCGAAATCATGAATTAGTGCTATACATGTCCGTGCTGTATATTGCATTTATAAATGATTTTTTAGCAGTATTCATGAATTAGCGCATCGTTGTCTGCGCCAAAGCCACTAAAATATGCCCGCTTTTTTTATGTACACACACAGTATCCTTAGCTTATTTAATTAGCATAAGGTAGCGAAATCGGACATACAAAGAAATACCGCTACCAATTAAAAAGTGAAGAAATATTTAAAAATAGCCAAAGATTTAAAAAATGTTAAAAGTCAGCTGTGCATAGTAAATTTAGGGGGAAAAGGAATCAGTCTAGTTTGTTGGGTATGCCTAATCATTATAAAGTTGTGTCCTTCTCTTCCATTGATCAAATTGTCTTCCTAAACAAGAACTATAAGCATTTGTAATTATTGGTACATGTATATTAATTGATCACGTCTTTGTGTTTATTTGATACATAAATTAAGTACCATAAATCGTTTTCGTTGGGCTCTATGTTTATGTATATGCATCATAAACTAAAGAAAACATTGATGGGGTAAACAGATCTCAATAAAATCAACAAACTTTTACATGTATATACATTTTTTCCAAGTACCAGGGACTCGATTGGAAAATTATCCTGAGTAACCGATTACCAAATATCAACCAATTTGACATCCCTAATTAAAACATCACAATCAAAAGCTTTCACTCTTGATAATGCTTGTTTAATTCCCTGAAACATCAGTGCATTGGCCAATCAAAATGCAGATTACAAAACATAAGAATTCAGTAGATTGAGGTTTCAGGCTGAACTTATTGAACAAACTTGAATCTACACCACCTGAGGATGCTTCCTGACCATATAAATATGACCAATCATGGCTTTGCTCTTCTTGAGAAGAAGCTTTTTAAAAAAAAATTCCTATATACTCCTATGTAAAACTTTGATTGTCCATCGTGGCCCCATCCTACCCCAAGGGGTCATGATTTGAACAAACTTGAATCTACACCACCTGAGGATGCTTCCACATAAATATTACCAATCATGGCTTTGCTGTTTTTGAGAAGAAGATTTTTAAAGATTTTTGCTATATATTCCTCTGTAAAACTTTTATCGTCCATTGTGGCCCCACCCTACACCCGGGGGTCATGATTTGAACAAATTTGAATCTACACTACCTGAGGATGATTCCACATGAGTTTCATCTTTCATAGCCCAGTGGTTCTTGAGAAGAAGATTTTTAAAAGATGCCATTAATATTTCATTATTTTGTAATTATCTCCCCTTGGAAGAGGGTGTAATGGACAATCTGTATATTTTATTCTGAATTCCAATTTTGTCCGTAAGTTTCGATTTCTGTGCATTCCAATTTTATCAGAATGATACGTTTATCAAATGTTGAGAAATGCACGAGCGCCATATTTAGATCAATGAGTGCAGTAGTTTGTTGTGTTCTAGCTGAAAGTACCAGACATACATCACGGTAATTATATATTAATTATTTATTACATACTGTCTGCTATATGCATTTACTTGTTACATTGAATTTGAGTAGGAATTTGTCATATTACCACTGTTTACAAAGTTTCATATAAGAAGCAATTTTTGTGTCATGATTTATATTGATAAAAAGTTACATTATATGTATATTCTGTATTGAGTACAAGTATTTATTATATTTACATTTCATTTGTAGTCAATCTATGTCAGAAACAGGGACTTTGTCATACTATGTCAGAGACAAAGACTTTGTTATACAATGCCAGAATGTGTCCATGTTAATAAAGACATTGAATTGAACCTGTGTCGTTGGTACAAGAGAACACTACAGAGGGCGTGGCCCTTAATTTGAACAAACTTGAATCCCCTTTACCCAAGGATACTCTGTGCCAAGTTTGGTTGAAATTTGCCCAGTAGTTCTGGAGAAGAAGATGAAATTATGAAAAGTTTACAACGACAACAACGACGATGACAACAATGATGACAGACAACGGACAAATTTCAATCAAAAAAGCTCACTTGAGCCTTCGGCTCATGTGAGCTAAAAACTATTACCTTATATAACTTGTTCTTATTGTAACAGAGACCATTACAGATGTCCCCCCAAACACTATCCTACTTATTTTTGGTGATCTATTCCATATATGCATATTACTTAAATTAAGCAAAACTTTCGTAACACAGACTTGAAATATATGTTCTACTAAGTATTCTATTACAACAAATATAGAGCAAAATAAACACAAGCCAAGGAGGATTCAGTTGACACCTAAAATGCACGTGTTACAAGTTGTTTATCATTGAATGGCTTAATGATTGGCTGAGAGATAAGAAAAACAATCAAGATTTCTAATTTTTGAAAAAGAAGTCACTACAGTCAGCTCACAAATATTGAATGAAATATGCCAGGGGTCTAACAGCAACCTGTTGACTCAGGACCCCTGGCTTGCGAGGATGCTCAAACAGTGGAAATACATATTTTCCTTAAAAGTTTTCAAATGCAGCAATGTTAAAAATATCTCTGCTTTAGATTGCTTTTTAAATAATATGTAAAATAAATATTAGTAGACATTTACTTGCGACTTTTTGTCTTTGTAAAATAAAAAACCAAATTGTGAAAAGTTGCCTTGAAATAGCTAAATAAAGCTACCTGAGGTAGGTAAATAAAGCTACAGTAGGTAATTTTAGCTACATAGCTAAATGTACTGACTGTACTGGTCCCAATGAACTACGGGGAAGTTTATTAGATAGAACATTCTATCATTAAAATGATATTGTCCTACAGAGCCGGTTTAACGATAGAATTCGTTCCTTGTATGGCAATGTTGCAAAATAAACACGGGCAATAACTCAAACTCTGTGCATTTTCTATGAACAGTCCTGAAAATTCCGAATGTCAACATGGCGTTAAATTTGAAGCAAGGAAAAAAAGTTGAGAAAATGAGTTGAATTTTCGTATTTATATGGATTATTCTTTAGGTTAAAAGGCATATACAATCTCAAAAAGGTTTGTTATGATTAATTTGGTAGTTATTTTCAGTGCAACTCCTTTTGTATTCTTCAAAATTATTTCGGATTCGATCCACTCCGATTTGCTACATTGCAAGTATATGGGACGTATTCTAACTGTGGTGAAGGCTTAAGGCTTGTCCCGAGACACAGTTAGATTATTCTAACTAGGAAGTTTATTAGCCCTTAGGTGATCACCCTTTTTACATGTAGTATGCAGTAAGACAAAAATATTGTATGAATTTACCGTTGTCTATTACAAGTGGTACACCATTGTTGTCATTTGAGTATTCAAATACTGGATCTGGCAGGGTTTTATCGTCTTTAAAAGCGAAAATTCCTCGGGTCCTACATTCAGATTTTTCCATGTTTATTTATCTAAAAATGGGCTGATATAAGAATGTTTATAATCCCTGTAAAAATCATAAATTGCTTTGTTCCTCCAGTCGTGTTATTATTATAGCAATATTCAAACGAAAAAAGAAAGCTTCCTTCGTCAAGTCCTGCTGCGATTTGAAATCATCGGATATTGCATATTTAAACTAAAATAAAAATCGCCAAGAGCCATATTAAAACCCGGATTATAGCGAACGTTGTACAATATTATGTTGACGGTGCGACCGTTGGGGCGAGCGCAGTTGTTCACTTTTAATTAAGGAAAAGAAGGACCTTGAGTTAAAAAAAATACTTGTCATTCATTTTTTTTCATATTTTATATATTTCTAATTAAGTATGTCCCACATATTTTTAACGAGGTTGGATCCTGATATTTAAAGTCTTAAACTTTTTTTGTCAAGTATATTTTTAGTTTCTTCACACATAGCTTAATTAAAAATCAAAACAAAAATTGGGGGTCAATATGCTTCTTTTGGCGCTACAGTACATTTATATGACCTTTTTGCACTGAAATTTGTGTCTTAATCAAAAATCACATCTTCGACGTTTTCACAGTCCCTTTAATGTTTTTATCCAAATAAATCATGGGACAAAATAAACTATTAGTCTACTTAAAAAAGACACTTTAAAATTGTGATTAAGAAAAAGTTTCAAATGCTTCGCATAATCAATTATTTGACCTTTCTGCACTCAAAAAGTGTGATTTCCCTGGTATTAAAAATTTAACAAGCAAGAAAATTATTTTAAAGTCTTAAACTTTTGTTGAATTTAGGCAGATTGATTAAAGTTATCTTTAACAACAAAAGTGGGATGTAAATTTTCAGATATTACTAAAAAAGTGTTAATTTTATGTTAAAATTGGCTAAATTTTTTTCCCGGACTTTCAGAATATATTAACTATATTTGTCACAATATAATGAAAGAATTCATAAGAAATAATTTAATAGATATTTCAGAACCAGCACAAAACATTTCACTGCAAAAAACAGCTCTATGTGCAACCAGCATGGAAAAATAGGAATCTAAACTTAACGGTACTGTATATATTTCAAAAGGGAAATATTGATCATTTTCTCCTTAAAAAAAAAACCTTCCGCCACAAAATATAGTTCCTGACTTAATCCTATTTGAATGGAATTTAATCGCGGTTTTTTCATTGGATATAGTTTAATTTGCATTGTAGAATCTAGTTTTAATGTTTGAACTTAAAAATGATGCAGAATTTTATTTTTAAAAAAAGGTCCAGACTAAAGTCTGCTCAAAAGCTCAGGATCGAACCTCCTTAAGGAAGCGATTGCAAGGCGTCACGTGATCGACTCATGTGATGTTTAAAAAAAGAAAGTTTACGATAACCATTTCCGGAATAAGGGGCGTGATATGATTGCACCAATGACAAAAAGTCCTCGTGGAAATATTTCATGAACAGAGAAAGAATGGGGAGCGTCGACGCAGATTTTTTTTTCATCTACGTGTTTTGTTTTTGACACGTCTAGCTTTTGTGTATATAGTTCTGAACATTTAAATCTATTTCATTAATAAATTGAATTTATATCTGGATCTTTATGTCCTCTTGTTTAAATTTATTAAAATATTAGAATTTACTATTGGATCTACGTCAACGTATATATTCATTTCCTAGAGGCTTCAGACGGCGTGATTTTCTCAGTGATTAATGAATATGGATGAACAGATGAACGAATGCGATTTTGATATATATACATTATAGACTAGTTTGAGGTTGCATGCTGGACATGAATATCTTTTTTTTTAATATTGCAGAGGAAATTTGTTTTCCTCTATAAGATCTTCTCTAGCATTTTCAACACTTACATCGACCATGTAAACATTGAATCATCGGTGCATATATTGTGTAAACATTTTGTAAAATGTTTTATGTGTCGTATTTTGTCAAAAATTGAAATTGAACACACTTCTGATGACAGAAAAGAAAAGTTTCTTTTTGCAAGTTTTCACAAATCTAGCAAAAAATAATTTTTAAAATAATAATTTTTGAGAATTCACGAGGACATGAACAAAAACGCTTCACGCCGGTATAATTTATGAAGCGCATAAGCACGAAGCGATGCAAATTTATGTCATTCAACAATTCTTTTTGAAACTAAAATTTCTAGTTTTGACGTCGTGTGGAATTATGACGTCACAATGGAGATATTCTTGCTTCCTCATGTACTCATGTACCTAGTTCATGAGAAAATCATGCGAAGAATATGAAGGAAAAATATTTGTAAATATTAAATAGCAAATTACTATTTTTTGCCAAATAAGATATTAGGATTTTTTTTATATTTATTGCAGATACAAGTTCTATGAAATAACCCCTATTCATGCAATATGTTCAGACAGGTGTCTACCCCCCCCCCCTTTCCAGGTCACAGTGCAGAGACCTCGATGTTCAGCGCATGAACAATTTGTCCCTTGGACCAATGTGTACTGGTTTGGAATATATATATTTATATTGATATAATAACGGAATGAATGTTTTGGAGACGGGAAAATTAAAAAAAAAAAAAGAAAGAAACAAATGTGCAAGTTGTTATTTTTTGAGTACATGATTTTATTTTATTTTTTTTTACTTTTGTTATTCTGATTTACATAAAAAACGAGCAACAAACGTAAGATTTTCAGAAAAAAGTATTTATTAATCTATACATTTTGTTTTTTCTTTAGTCTTTTAACAGACTATACATAATTAAGGTTCAACAGCAAACCATCATACGAAAATTTATGAAATCTTATAATATTTTAGGAAGGGAGAGGGGTTATTGAAATGCATGTAGCTTCAAAATGAATGTGATGACCTTACTTCATATTTTAACCATAAGTCACTTATAATAATTTGTACAAAATATATTAGTTTTTGGAAAATTCATTGGGTATTTTTTTAAGACGTTGAGAACTGCTCTTGAAGTGAAAATATTACTGCAAATTTACAATGAATACTCCCCAAAGCAGCGGTGGCCTTACTACATCTATCAATATTTACATTTGCTGTGTTTTTCTACTAAGCCTACTGTGAAATTGATTTGAAAGCCATTTTTGTGTATACTCAAGCGTAGAAATATACACGGAGAAACTCACCCTAAAGTGACGTCACAATGAGGCTACAGAGACGTTAATAAAAAAATGACGATATAGGGCAAAGAGAAATTCAAACATTGAGTATATATTTGGTGCATTTAAACATGTAAAATGTAAATATAAGGAATGTTTTTAAGTTTAGTGTGAATTATTGGTGTGTAAATCACACAGACTTGCACGTAGGCATAGGCACGCTAGCGCTTCATGAAATATGCCTACGTGACAAGTCTGTGTGATTTACACAGCAATAACTCACACAAAACTTAAAAACATTCCTTAAATAGTTTCCGATACAACTTTTATTTTCATTGAATATAAAAAGCATATTATTTAATATCTAGTGGAATTTTTTTTAATTTTGTTTCAATTTTGATACCTGTATGGGATATATAAAATTTCACCTCATAAATATCATAATATTGAAAAACTGCGGTTACCATGGCAACCATATCATCCTTATAACCCTGATGACGATGGTTGAAATTTTCATATTATGATACCATTAACGTAAGGCAAATTAAATGTAAAAATGAGAAAAATTCATTGAGCGGATTTTTTTCACGGACCCTTGCAATCGTTTCCTTAAGCAGTTATATTTTTAGGTTCCTTACCTTATTTTAGAGAAATTGACTGACAAATACTAAGCCCTGCCTGTAAACTTTGTCTTTCTGTCTTCAAAATGCTTCTCCTCCTACAGTTTTGGTAAGATTACGAAATAACTAGGCACACAAGTAGACTAAACTAAGATAAATAATTTTGTGAATCGGTTTTTGAATCCGATGAACGATGTTGCCATGGTTACTAAAAATAAAAATTTCTGTGAAATACTTTCAAAATGCTACTCCTCCCACAGTTTTTTTCTGATTTCAGTATAACTTTGCACACAAGTAGACTACACTAAGATACATAATTTTATGTATCGGTTTTTGATTTTGATGAACGGTGTTGCCATGGCTACTAAAAATAGAAATTTCTGTGAAATACAATCAATATGCTACTCTTCCTCCAGTTTGGTCTGATTTTAATATAACGTGGCATGCAAGTAGACTATACTGAGATACATAAATGTTGTTATTGTTTTTGATTGATGATGTTGCCATGGTAACTAAAATCGAAATTTCTGTAAAATTCTTTTAAAAGACTACTCCTCCTACAGTTCTGGTCTGATTGCAATCTTGCCACAAAAAGAAATGAAATTAAGGATCATTATTCTATTTAAAATCCAAGTGCTACTCTTCTCTTCCTTTGTTATTAGTACAAACCAGTAGAGCTACAGTCTCGATAGAGACTTCTGGTTCCTATAGACCTTTTGTTTCGTCTTCATCATAAACTCTGAATGGTATTTTATAAGTTTTTCTTCAATAAACTTTACTCACGATAAATTTGCAAATCTGCTGGAAAATATCAATGAATACACGCCACAAACATTTCGGTAAGCCCACGTCGATCATCGAGATCAGTCGTTATCTTAGCAATGTAAGCTGACGCCAGTGTCTCTATGTCCACATCATAATAAATGTGCCCTATTGAAATTGTAGATATGATGTTTTTGGTCAAATTTTATAAAGTTAAGCTTGATTTCAAGTCAACTGGCTAGGACTAGTGTCTCCATTCCTCCAACTTCTCATAACCACATCGGACGTGTTTCTCTATTCCAAGATAACAATATGCTCACTATTATTGATCACAAGCATCAGAGAGGAAATATCCTCATACCAGACAATCTATTTCATGTTTACAAGAATGTTAAAATTTTAAAATATTTGTTTTCAAGTGATACTTTCTATCTGTTAATCAATGATATATTTATAAACTGTAAACAATTTAACTTTATACCTCACTTAGTTTTGGAGCTATTGTAAAAATAAATTTTTGGACACCTTGACCTTTAGCAAAACCTTAATGATAATAATCACCGCTGAGCACTTTGAATTGTTGTGTGTATCTTTTGCAGTTATCTATCAAATTAAA